CCCCCCCCCCCCACTCTCCCACTACACCCTAGATACTGCGCCATGGCATGGAGCAGAAGTGGGCCCCCCACATGACGACCCGGCTTGCGAGGCGTGGCGGGAGGGAGATGGACGACAACACCCCGCAGATCGCTCCCGTCCACAACGCACACGACGACAGCGTCTCTTCCGACTCGCTCCAACCGTCCTCCAAACGAGCTCACTGCAAATGGGAGAACTCACAAGACGACGACGACGTCGACATGGCGCTCGTTGTGCCTGAGCGCGCCAGTTTCCGACGTGTACGAGGTCGTGTTCGGCACCCGTTTCAGCGCGAACGGCGGGGAGGGGCATGCAGGGTGGCGGAAGGTGGAGGAAGCCAGCGTGGGTGGGTGGGGGACCACGCCCGCATTCGAAAACCGTGGTCAATGGGATGCGGTGCATCACCGACGGCTTGATAACGTCCCCCCACCGCGCATCAAATCTCGGCCGTCCGCATGCCCCGCCCTTCTGCCAAGGGTGTGCGCAGCGTGCGCAGGTGCCCTGCGTTCGAAAACCGCAATGGGGTCTTGAACTGCTCCTGGTCTCACGCTACCGGTGGCGTGGAGTGTCCGGGAACGCGTTCGGTGTCCGCCCGACGTTTCGCACCACTGGTGGAGGTCGACACCAACCAGCGAAACGGCGCCGTTGTCAGGAACGGGGCCGCTAGCGCCGCAACCCTGACAGGTGTTGAAAACGCACTCGAATCCGATAGCCCTCGAAGGACCTATCGAAAATCCGCTCGCCGCAGGCTGAGGAAAAACTACGGCCTGTAGTACCTCCAAGGTCGGGCCTTTAGGCCCTAATATGTCCCCCTAACCCTAAGTCGGATCCGGTAGGACCCGTGTGGCGTCGAAGATGTAACAGAGAGACAGAGAGAGAGAGAGAGAGCCGGTGCGTTCTACGGGGCAGGCCGCTCAACGCGCGGGCTCTCTCTCTCTCTCTCTCTCTCGCGCGCGCGCGCGCGCGCATGTTTCCTCCGGCGCAGTTCAAATGTCGAAGCGGGAAAGAATCTTCCCGCTTTTGCAAGAAGACTCATTCCCAACTTCTCTCTCTCTCTCTCTCTCTCTCTCTCTCTCTCTCTCTCTCTCTCTCTCTCGCTCTCGCTCTCGCTCTCTTCCCTCCATAACCACCCTCGCACACACCCGTTTCTTTTGCTGTCGTTTTGTTTTACTTTCAAGTTTTATAGTATCAAGTACTATCAACTAGGACATCAACTTACCTATCAACTAGGGGTATCGATCCCCCTATCAACTAGGCTATCAATCGGGCTATCTACTAGGCTATCAACTAGGCTATCAACTGCGATCTTAAGTCTACTGTGCTAGATAAGAGTCAGTGTGCACCCTCATGAAGACCTGTAGTAGCATCTTCATACCTAGCTCCCAAAGTCCCCGTTGAACCGGCTTGCACGGTGTCTGCTTCGCCCAAGGCTGAGCAGGGGGATAGGTCTCTCTGCTTAGCCCAGGTGCCTGCAACCGCTGTCTGGTCAGGTCACCCTGCGAAGATGGTAATGGGTGATGGTTAACACTAGGGTAGGACAAGGGGGGTGGGGGTGTGCCAGGGCAAAAAATGACTAGAGGAAGGGTGGGGTTCATCTGGACAACCGAATGGCCGATAACCGTGGGTGACTTTCACCTGTCCAGCATCCCACCTCTACAACAACCTGGGGTTTATAAAGAAAAAGTAAAAAACCCAAGAAGGGGAAACTACGCGGGAGTCACAAAAACGGGTTATAGTTGCGGTATAGGCCAACACACACTTTGCAATTGCAGTTTGGGCAATGGGCCTCGCCACACCAATGTTGAAAAATCGTTTTTCGCAAGTTTGGCAACACCACACAGACTGGCGAACGGAGGAGTGGGCGAAAACACTCGCCAACTGTAAGAGAGGGCGGTTCGCCATCTGCTGTCGACCACCAAACGACATTACCGTTTGGGCCTGGCGGCGCTCTTGAGGCTGCCGCCTGCCGGTTGGGGCTGAACCGTCCATCTGGACGGTTCAGGGCACGGCCAGGCCTCGCAGCATTAAGGCCGGTCTCTGCCCCACCGGTACAAAAGTACCGGTCCAGCCTCATTGAGGCTATCGACCTACCGTCATTCTACCGGTACGGTATGGTACAGCGCGAAACAGCGTTGGCGCTATGTTTAGCGCAAGGAGCAATGCAGCGCAGCAGCAGCGGCGACTGAGTGTATCGGCGGCCATAGCCGCCTGAGGTATAGGGAGTTGGAGGCTTCTCTCCTCCCTCCCATCGCCAATCCCCTCTCTCTCTCTCTCCCCTCCTCGGCTCCCTTCTTCTTCTTCTCCTCAGATTCTATCTTCTTCTTCTTCTTCTTCTTCTTCTTCTTCTTCTTCAGATTGGAGACTTATACTAGTTGGACAGAGATCAGGGTTGGACTTCGGTGGTATGAGACTGTGGTACTTACCGGATTGGAGACTTGGAGATTGTTGGGGTTGATACTTGGCGGCATCACAGTTCRGACACCGGTGACATTTGGACTCTGTATCTCCGACATTGGTGACTGATTGTCCTCGACATTTTGATCTTGTTGGATGACATTTTKGACTACCATATYGGTRACCTATCRGATTTTATCTCGGTGACCTATCGGTGTTGTCTACCTCCCCCACCTCMTTCGTCTCTCCTCCCACCTTTCATCTGTGTATGTGTGTACGGGATCTGGGCATCGTCTATGCTTGGCCCAGACCCCACCATCTCATGATTGTATGTGTGTGGAGTGATACCTATGTTAGTCAGTCTATGTGAGTCAGTCTATGTGAGTCAGTCCGTTTATCAGACTTCCGTTGCATATATGCTCATCCTACATTGGTTGATCTTTGGTTCTGCCCATACTCATTGAAGTATGTAACAGTTTTGGTATCGGAGCAGACCATTTCACGGATCTGCTCACCAGGTAAGTCTGATTAGGAAGGAGATTGTTGTTTCAATCATCCAAATCAGCTCTGAATTACTATCGAGTTCAAAGTTGCAAAATTTTTTTTTTTCCTCTCTTTTTCGGTATTCTATTTATTTCGGCGTTGCCGTTTCAATTCGGTATTCGGACTTATAATTCGGATTCCTGTTTTTCTTCCGGTATGCTGTTTATTTGGGTTCCGATTAGTTGATACTAATCCGATAATTTGGTGGATTCGGATTTCTGATTTTTAAACGTATTAGGGTTGAATTAGTATCCTGTTGAAATTCGGCATTCTGATTTCCATTCAGCATTGCGTTTTTTCGGCATTCTGTTGTAAATCCTATATTTTGTTTTTCTTTTGGCATTTCCGTTTTCCTTCGGTATTGGAAATTAGGGTTACGAATTTTTTTTGGGTTTTCAATCAGCTTGGGGAATTCGAAAGTTTTGGGACCGTAAATCCGGAAATTCCGCCGAAACGCGGAAAATTAGGGTTGGGACCGAAATTTTCGCGAATTTTTTTTTCGTTCCCCTTGTTTGAGAAAGTCCGAAAACGGGTTTAGGCCTTTAAAAATCAGATTTTGATGGTGGAAATTCCCGAATTTCACGTATTTTGGAAATTCGAGTGTTTTTCTCCTCATTTTTGTCCGAAAATTTTTGGCAAACTAATCCGACTCTGACCCTCAGCATTGCAACTTCCGGGTAGTTCACTAATTAACTGTGAACTCCCGGACTCAAAAATGATCTCAATGGATACCTGATCTTGATAACAATTCAAATTCGCTCATTATCATTATTGCAAATATTGTTTTAATTGATTATCGTTAAAAAATCATTATTGCAAAGATTGTTTATTGATTATCATTAAGAATTATTCTTTCGTATTAATCATTAATTAAACTTATTGATTAAATAATTCGTTATTATTCTTCTTATTACGAATTTTCGAATTGTTTACGGAAAAAATTATTTTTTTTCTGTTTGATTAGGTGTCTTAGTCCATCCTTGGGACAGGGACTGTATGTTTATTGCTTGATATGTTTTATCCCTGTGCCCACCCTCTCACTCTCACTGTTTTGGGATCCTTCGGACAAGCCAGCCTTCAGCAACAGTTCCTGATGCCAGCAGGGCCAGCCTCCGAACAACAGCCACGACGCAGCAAGCGGATCGCCGATCGCCAACAGCAACAGCAACAGCAACCTCCAGCTCAACAACCGCCACAGACCAGTACTCAGATGGCGAACACGCCACACAGCGGATCATCATCCGAGGGTTCGACAGCTAGTAATGCCGAACCTTTACCGGTTTGTCCGGTGCAAGGGTCGAATGAGCCCCTCCCGGATTTCATTCAGAGAATGCAGGACTACACAGCCGCACTCACCCAGGTCAAGGAACAGCAAGAGGCTGCCACAGCCGAAAGACTATGGCTAGCAGAGGAGGCTGCAGCACAAACCCGACGTCAAGCCGAGGCAGACCGGTTGGTGATCGATCAGCTCAACGCCGGCAGCGCTGAACGTGTAAGTGCTAACCAAGCACAATGGACAGCGGTGCTCAACGGGATGCGTTATGTCCCGGTACCCAGCAGCGAGCCGACAACAGTACAGCAGGAGAGGCAAGACCTGACAGATATTCTACTCCATACAATGCGCGCCGTCATTTGGAACAGCACCATGGGGGAGCTGCATTCCCACTCCACACTGCAGCAGCAGCACGATCTGAGCCGTAACGTGAAGATACTTGCAGCAGCTGTCAAGGTCGCAGACAACCAGCTGAAACAGCTAGATGCACGCATTGCTACCTTGGAGGCAAGGCCTCCCCAAGCAGCGCCAGGCTGCACGACAGATATGACAGACATGACGAAGCAGCTCAATGGGCGCATCGATCATCTCGTCAATCTCATCGGCGATATAGGTGTTTTCAATGGGCCGGACACGATCAGTAGCACGGTGGCCGCCATCAAGACGGACATCACCAAGCTGCAAACAAAACCGGACGTCGCCGCGAAGAATTACAAGATGCCGCACTTCGACATCAGCAAGTTCGACGACCACAACAAGACGGGCGCTTTGGCATGGTGGCAACGTTTCCTCATGGAAGCATCATGCCGCACTGTCCCGGCCGACGACATGATGAAGGCGCTATACTTACAACTGATTGGAGGAGCGCAGGCATGGATGAACCATCTGGCGACTACCCACAAATGCACCATCGCTGAACTCCACACGCACCTCACGTGGAAAGAGTTCGAGAAGCTATGGTTCACCCGGTTCATGGTCCGCAACGTCGTGAAGGCGGCCATGAACGAGGTGTATACCTGCTCTCAAGGAAGTATGCCAAATCGAGACTGGACAACCAAGTGGCAGAAGATAGTGACCACGCCAGGCTTCAATTTGAGTTTTTCTAATCAACGATCCGAGTTCTTCTCGCGATAGTGCGCAGGATTGCGGTCGCCACTCGGAAACGAGTACGACTATACCTTGTTCCAGGCTATCCTGGATCGCGCAAACCTGGTCATCCAAACGGACGACAAGGCCGCTAACGAGAAACAATCCCAGCCGCATTATGTGGTTAAGCAGAGCTATCAACGTCCGACACGTAACAATGCCGTGATTTCTGAAGAAACAAACGATCTCCACGCTGCAGCAGCATCCTCGAGTGAGGGAGGAATTGTAGCAGCGCTCCCGCCGAAGCGTCCCAAGAGAGTTCAGAAGAACAAGGCGACACAAGAGACGGCATCGACGGGAACTGGGCAGCAGCCATGGACGGCTTACAAGATAACCAAGGATGTCTATGACCTTCGTCAAAAGTACGGATACTGCCTTTGGTGCAACGGCGTCATGCATTTGACCGCACAATGCCCCGAAAAGGGCAAGACACGCGTACCCTGTCCAGCAAACTCGAGAAACTGAGTTACGCAAGGAGAGGGGCGACGTCTCTCCTCACTCTGCCGGAACCGGTTGCCTTGCTAGCAATCGATGTCACTACCAGGGAGCATGCGATAGTCGCTGATTCTCGTGCTACGTACGAGGATTATGCTGCCCAGCTGGTACCACCATTAGACCAGCCGAGCCACGTGCATTTAGCTAGCCTATGCGCAGCCTGTACACCGTCGGCAAGAGATCCAGTCAGCTCGCCACTGACTTCCGATGACTCGACAGCGTGGTCAAGAGTTGAGGAGCTTGACCCGCTCACGAGAGAGAACTTCGCTTGGATGCCTCTACCCTCGACCGAAACCTTGCCAAGGCCGCATTGCAACGCCTTGATGGCAAATCTACGCTCCTATTTGCACACTACAGTACCAGCTCCGTTGACGGACGACGGAGTAGCGGTTGTCGATCTCCGCTCCTATCTTGCGAAGATTGACCGCGAGTACGCCACCCAAAGGTACGCCACCCAAAGGTACGCCGCATTCAAATCGGAAAGGCAACCTATAGTGCCTTGATTGATTGCGGAGCGTCTTGCAACTTTATGAGCCAAGCCTTTACGGCCCGCGCAGGCCTTGGCCCGTGCGTTCGAAGGAAGACGCAACCCACGCAAGTCACACTCGCGGACGGTCGCACGCAAAAGTCAATTGACCGATGCGTCGACGACGTTCCGGTATACTTTGCGCCACTTGCGTGCGAGCCGGTGTCTTTTGACATCCTCGACACCAAGTTCGACATGATTCTAGGCATGTCTTGGTTGCGTAGCGCCGATCATCCGGTGAACTTTCATGACCAAACCGTTCACATCCGTGACCGGAACGGAGTGTTAGTCCCATGTACGGCCGCGACCCCTCACACTTCGATTGYTTGTCACGTGGTTTCCGTTGCGAGAATTCGCGACGCCATTGCTCGGAATGACGTCGAGGAGATGGGCCTTGTATTCTTGCATGCTCTCCCCTCGCTGGACGGACCAGTCGCGTCACCGCCGGACCCACGCATTTCTCACCTCTTGGACGAGTATAGAGACATCTTCGAGGCTCCCACCGGAACGGTTTCGGATCGGCCCATACGTCACAGGATCACTCTCGAGGTTGGCGCCGTCCCTCCGCGTGGATGTATCTACCGCATGAGCGAAGAGGAACTCGAGGTGCTTCGCGCACAACTCGATGAACTTCTCGACAAGGGTGGGATTCGCCCTAGTTGCTCGCCATACGGTTCCCCTGTTCTCTTCGGAAGAAGAACAAAGATCTACAGTTATGCATCGATTATCGGAAACTTAACGCACAAACCGTAAAGAACGTCGGCCCTCTCCCTCGGATTGATGATCTTCTTGAGCGGTTAGGCGGCGCRACGTACTTCTCGAAGTTGGACTTGAAGTCAGGYTACCACCAGATTGAAATCCAGCCTCAAGACTGGTACAAGACCGCGTTCAAGACGCGGTACGGGCATTTTGAGTGGGTTGTCATGCCCTTTGGCCTCACCAATGCCCCCGCGACTTTCCAAGCAGCGATGACGACCGAGTTTCGTGACTTGCTCAATCGCAGCGTCCTCATCTACCTTGATGACATCTTGGTTTACAGTAGGGCGTTGGACGAGCACATCGTACACCTTCGCGTTGTTCTGGATCGTTTGCGACTCGCCAAGTACAAAGCGAATCTCGACAAGTGCGAATTCGCCARGCAAGAGCTTGAGTACTTGGGTCATTTTGTCACGCCGAAAGGCATTCGTCCCTTAGCGGACAAGATCCAAGCCATCGTGGATTGGCCGGAACCCCGTTGCACGACGGATGTACGCTCTTTCATGGGTTTGGCTGGATATTATCAGCGATTCRTCGAGTCATACTCGAAAGTGGCYGCTCCTTTGTCGAGACTTCARTCCCCGAAGGTGCCCTTCGAGTTCGACGACRCAGCCCGTGGCGCGTTCACTACGTTGAAGGCAGCRATGCAAGCCGCACCTGCCCTCCGTATATATRACCCCACCCTTCCCACCCAAGTGACTACGGACGCTTCGGKRTACGGTATTGGTGCVKTGTTGGAACAGTGTCACGAGGACGGTTGGCATCCGGTCGAGTACTTCTCCCAAAAGGTGCCTCTCGTAAACACTCTCGACGACGCTAGGAAGAAAGAGCTACTCATGTTTGTCACCGTTCTCAAACGGTGGCGCCACTTTCTTCTCGGCCATCGGCGTTTTAAATGGAATACGGACAACAATCCCTTAACCTTTTACAAAACGTAGGATACGGTCACTAGCACGATCGGTCGATGGATGTATTACATCGACCAGTTCGACTTTGACCCGTGCCACATTCCCGGTCCCGCCAATCGAGCTGCGGACGCCTGTGTGTCCGATTTTGGATTCAACACGGGTTCCGCGTTGAATTATTGAACGCACGTTGAATTCGCGTTCAACGCCCGTTCAAACGCGCGTTGGACGGGGAAAAACGGGGTCTGCAATGATTTTTTTCCGAGGAAAAACATAATAAAAAAAAAAATAACAAAAAATGAGGTCGTAGATCTTTTCGAGATCTACAACCCCATAGTTTTATTTTTATTTTTTGAGCTTTTAATATATTTTTAAAAAATAAAAAACGTAAGCACAATGAAAAAAAAAAGACAAGAAATGACATAAGTCTTTTTTTTGGGGGTTTCACAAAGATTTTTTAAGGGCTAAAAAAAATAATAATAATAAAAAAAAAAATATATGGGTTTGTAGATCTTTCAAAGATGTACAACAAAATATTTTTTTTTGTTTTTTTTTATAACTTCGTGTATTTTTTTAAATATCAAAACCATAAACAACATTTTTTTTGGCCTGCATTGCTTAGGTAATCTTGCTGGGTAAACTCCCTGATTTGGCCTGCTTCGTTCACTGTTGTTGCAACCACCACCATCAGATCATTTGTGATCTGATGGCTGGGAAGTACTGTGCCGTGATTTCCAGTGGGAGGTCTCCGTTTTTTTTGTTTTTTTTTTTGCCTTTCTCCTGTTTTCTCAGCCCAGAAACTCGTAATGAACCTGTCAGGCCGCTGCCACTCAGTGTCACATTGGATCGCCCACACTCCAATCCGTCTGCTAATGGGACCATGCCCCTGGGGCGAGGTCCCATTAGCAGTCAGATAGGAGTGTGGCCGATCCATTGTGACACTCAGTAGCAGCGGCCAGACAGGTTCATTACGAATTTTTGGGCTGAGAAACAGGAAAAAGGCCAAAAAAAAAAAAAGAAACAGAGCCGTCCCACCGGAAATCACGGCAGAGTGCTTCCCAGCCCTCTGATCACAAATGATCTGATGGTGGTGGTTGCAAAAACAGTGAACGAAGTAACCGCCACATTTTCTTGGAACAAAATTGACTTCTGTTAGAAGTGATCCTGACAATGAGATAATTGCACAACAACAAGTAAAATACTAAATATCTTCTATCCAGTGGGCTAAGGCCGACCCCAACCTCACTTGGGGTTGGCCATACCCCCAACCGATTGAAAAGATTCAGGCGGGAAGCTTTCTTTGGACTGACTGTGGGATCACGAGTAGTGCATGGCAGGATTTGGGTCACTCAACTGCCCCGCAAACTCGTTTCTAGCCTATCCCGTTGCTAGTGGGACCTCGTCCCTGGTGCTTGTCATTGCTGTCTGGTCGAAGTTGCCCTCAATACTGGTAGGGTGATGGTCCTGAGTGCTGGTCACACTGAGGTAGGATAGTAGGGACAGGGGGTCTGGTCCTTGGCCTCTACAAGACCCTGGGCTTTCAAAAAAAAAAAAAAAAAAAAAAGAATGGATCTTCTGCTAGAACG